CAAGAGTTTGCCACTAACGTAGCTATATCCCCCGCCCCTTTTGCAGAATTTATGACATAATTAAATCTAAACAAACCCTAACCTTTTTTAACCGAGGTGGAACTTGTCATGGAAATTAAAAAAAAGAAAAAGAGTTTGCCACTAACGTGGCCAAGTCTCCTGCCCAGCAAATGAAGCGTATATTATGTCAACAACAGTGAAATTTGATCACACAAATACATACATTTGAAAATATTCAAAATTTTGTAAGGAGTAAAGGGCATAAGGGGAGCATCTACTTGATGTAAATGCAAAATATCCTGAAGAAACAAAATATAATGCTGCAAAACACAATTTCTATGAAGTTCAAGAAACAAATTAAACCTTCTCCACAAAAACATGATGGAAGTACAACCTGACAAAACCAGTCACTACATTTACAACTGAATTCATTAGGGTGGGAGAAAGAAAAAACATTACAAGTCACATTTTGACTCGTAATAATATCTACATGGAATATTTCTTAAGAAACATAAATGGTATTAGTCTGTGATATGTGATTATGGTCATTACCAGTTCAAACCCAAGATGTTGCTTTGGACATAGTAGATTAAATGCAAAATATTAAGATTAAAAAGTTCAGTTCATTACCACATTGATTAACATACAAAGAAATAATGATAGTCACTTCAATATACTACACCTCTTCCCTCACACCCCACACAAGATGATGGTCAGTGTATGGAAGTGGAACGACTCCTGTTGAGATGGGCTCATTACAGAAGATCAAGTCTAAAGTACTCATGGAAATGAAAAAAAACTGTTTTGCTGTATTTAATAATCGACACAAAGCATTACGTAGATGTAAATACAAAATAACAAAGCAACTGGAAAAGTACTAGTCTGGATTTGCTAGTTTTATCTCAGTGCTCAATACAAAATGTACTTTACAGGAGGTAATTTGTAGGCACTTTCAACATTCAAAAATAAAACTAATTGACATGGCAGAAACAGGCTATAGGCATTATGCAAATTAGCCTGGAAAATGTTATCAAAAGAACAATAAAAATAACAGCTATGTTCATGTACATAATAATAATGACATGTAAGTTGTTGTTTGAGAAGGGAATATGTTACTTTTAAGTTCTGATATTTTGACGATGATTCACTATCCCACAAAACCACTCACAAATCACTAACCACTGACAAATCACATGCACGTGGGTTTCAAGCACCTGTTTTCACCTGTCGTCAAGGTGTCATAGGTCATGGACATTCACCTTGATCTTTTAACACCTGGTTATGCTCAGTTTCACAATAGTCTGTTTTGTTCATATTTTTACACACTTTAACGTGTAAAAAGACATAAAAACCTTTTTTACGCTGTATTTGTGCCAAGGCCCAATTACTTGTAGTACTAATTGAGTTGTTTGAATATTTATATATTTTGTATATTAACTGCATTTATTTAAAATCTGAGATCGAAAAAACAGTTTTTTTCCATTTCCGTGAGTACTTTAGTGTACCCCGAAGGGTGTGGGTTGGTTTGCTGATATACTGGGTGAATGTTAACTGCTCCATGAGGTTGGATAGTGCATTGTTGTCACGGACAGACAGTCCCCAATGATAACAATCCTATACTGATTGAGTTTTGGGCATTTAAAAGAAGAATTCATAAATTTCTAAAAGTTCATCTTGTTGCCATGGAAATAAACAAACAAAAAATTTCCAAAATTTATAAAATATAAAAAGGCACCAGTTGAGTATGTACCTGACAGACCTGTACAGTTTCATGAAAAAATATTGAACGGTTTATGAGTTTTGCTCCGGAAACGAACCCTACCTTCACAGAACCTAAGTCCATCTTGTTGCCATGGAAAAGTAAAAAATAAAAATTTCTAAAATTTCTAAGTAGCAAAAGGCACCAGTTCAGCATGTACCTGACAGACCTGAAGAGGTTCATGAAAAAATATTGAACGGTTTATGAGTTATGCTCCGGAAAATACCCTAACCTCACGGAACCTAAGTCCATCTTGTTGCCATGGAAAAGTAAAAATTAAAAATTTCTAAAATTTCTAAGTAGCAAAAGGCACCAGTTCAGCATGTATCTCACAAACCTGCAAAGTTTCATGAAAAAATATTGAATGGTTTATGAGTTATGCTCCGGAAACGAACCCTACCCTCACAGAACCTAAGTCCATCTTGTTGCCATGGAAACATTGGGCGGGGGATAAATAGATAAAATACTATCACAAGCATAAAATACTCGTATCCCTTGTCAAAGGTATGATGTTCTGTTGCATGCCCCTGACAACAAAAGCTGCCTGGGAGTTTTTCTAAAGTGTCAATGACACTTAACTAAAAACTGATTCCCACCCTGCAAGCTGACCCTGGTACCATTAGCCATCTTAGTGAGACCATCACTAAGATAGTGTTCTTATTTAAAGATCACTGGAAGCAGTGGTTATCACAAGGGGTTTTCATTTGTTTCGATGGAATTAGAAAATTAGTAAAACCTGGATTTGTTGATATTCTATTTCTGGTGTTAACATGCCAGCAGCAATGTTTTTGCTTTTAGAAAAAAGTCGAAACTCAGTATCTGTGTGTATTATATGCATACTTTCTTCACAGCTGTATTTTATACAAATAGGACAGGCATGTAAACATTATCTTATGGATGCTTATAAAGATTACAGGCAGATTGGTCAAGAAGTTTGACAGGGAGCATTTCATGGAGTGCAGCATTAATATGACAAACTTTCTTCTCTGAAAAAAACAACACACTAAACAAGGGCTCCCTTTTGCATCTAAAATAATGGATCACTATCTAATGAGGAGAAAATTTGTGGATCATTATCGATGGCTTCAAACGTCCTGATGCCATGATGGTTTTACCTTGTATATATGTTTCATTGTACTGCCAGCAATCTGATTGGCTGAAAGGTCAATGTATTCTGCAGACACTTACCAATGAATCTAAACAAATATGGCCGGCCTACTGAGGCAGACTACATTCAACACAATGGAATGTTGGGGGAATACCAATGCAAGTTGAGGGATTCCGCTTTCTCCTATGGCACGCTTGCACAAAATTATCTTAATGTTGTTACAATTATTGTAAATGCTTAAGAGCGCAATCTTAGATTTCGGCTGCAGTTTCCATCCACGTGCACACTGACTGCAGTATAACATTGATGATTGTAAGTTACAGTCGAAATTCACAATTGGTCTGGACCACTTTTAGTAGCTGAAATCATTGTAGGCCCTAAACATACTTGACTAGAGAGGGTCTGCTTCAAATAAATAATCTGCATTATGTTCAAACATTGTCATTCATTTTGTTAAACTGAGCAATTCAGATCAACACTTCAAAAACGCGAAGAGAGTATTACAAACTTCACAAAAGAAATATTGTTAATCGTGGTAACGATCAACATCATTATCAAGTCGAAAACCTTTAAATATTTTCCATCCAAGACAATGCTGAAAGAAGTGTTAAATAACATACCTTTTAGATGGAATACCTGCAAGCTATAGTAATGACCGTGACCTTCTTTATAATGCATAGGGAGCTAATCTTCGTTCATACTGTAGTTGGGAGTTATTTCCGTTTGCATATACTGTATTCGACGTAATAAGTGCCCAGGGCGCTCTCAAAATTAGAAATAGGGGGGCTCTTATTGGAACATTATTTTGTCGAGTTGAAAGATAAATTTTGTGGTTTATGCTGACAGCCTGAAATGTTTATAAACGAGAAATATATTTTTCCTGAATTTAATTGCCCATAAATAAGGGTGCATATAACACACGAGCGCGTATCATACATGAATAAAATAGTATTGTGTACATTGATCAATCGGAAAGGGAGCTAATTGGGATTGTTCACGAGCCAATATATTAGCAAATATCGCCGTGGGCGCTTATTAGAGCGGGGCGCTTATTACGTCAAATACGGAATGCCTTAATTGACAGGCTTTATGAATTTTGTTTGTTGCTAAAATGCATTTAACGGCTAATGCCTTTGAGGCATTCCAGTTTATGTCAATAAATTTAGCAGTCACCTGATCGACATCAAGGCAATAAATGTATTCCTATGCCAGGAATGTTTATCGATCCCATCATATATACCTATTTTGATTTATATGTTTGTTTGTCATTCAACTATTGTTGAGAACATATACCTTTGTTGTAAATTGTAATTATAAGGATTGCTGTGTATTTCTTTTCGGTACACAGTCAATCCTTACGTGTTTGTCCCTGGCAGCTCCTACACCTATCTGGGTCACTACTACCTGCATAAACAGTCACAACCATACACTCCAACATCATGTAGCTATGATCTTCCTCTCTACCTTCCTGAAGCAGCCTAACTCTATCATGTAATGAAGTACATAGACAACACACCATGTATTCTGGACCACTTTTGAAATATCTAACTCAAATCATACATAATACTTAATAGATATTCCTCACACCGAAAACAAAATCCTACCTGTGGACATGACAACTGGTTATTCACTGAGGTTCACAATCAACTGTGCTCATAGGACAGCAAGGTGTCATGTGAAAGTGGTAATACCAGATGCTACAAATCCTATCATGTGATCAGGAATATTCATCAGTGCCTTTGTTCTCATTCCGTGATGCACCAGCTAGTGGCTACAGTCTGCATGAGATACATCCAACTTCACATGCAATAAGTCTGTTCACAGCAATGGAAGTTCTGGATGGACTCTCATTACGAATCTGGTATTCATGTGCGACTGTGATCTCCATCTACACCAGTGACAGGTGACACGAGTGGATGGCCTGGGACACTACCTGCCTGCTACCTGGCTTGTGTTGAACATAATGACATGTGTGGCATATTTAGGGATGTTTTCTGTTTGAGATACACACAACAAGTAATCTCTGTGCTCAAGTGATCCAACCAAACAGTGTGCAACATGCATGTTCAGGCTGAAGGAGGTAAGTTCTTTATTGAGAAGTGATAAACTATATGACAGTTCCATTGTACTTACATTTATTTACATTTTCCCAAAACATGGCTTCCAGCTTTCCTATGCCTGTTGGCGCTTCTGTTGACCCCCCTACTTCTCCTGCCTGAGTCACATCTCCAACTGGGGGTGCTTCACTTGCAGCTGCGGCAGGACCTGCTGCAGGGCCACCACCATCTGTATTGCCTGTTACGGCTCTCTCCAAAGCCCGACGGGCTCGGAGTAATGCCTCCATTATGGGCACAGGCATTTACCTGTAGTGCTCACAACAGGACCTGCAACAGAAACATTCTATATGAATCTATAGCAACGCAACAGTCATTCTAAATGCCATCATTAGCAGTATTGGTGTCTGTCTGCCCGCTTCACCTAAGATTTTGATAAAATATGCAATGTATACGTTACATGTACACATTGTTAAATGGCATCTGAGAGTAATCCTGGTATTAGTTGGGTACATCTACTCATGTAACATGGAAGGATTATAGCATATAGTTTAATTAGAGGCTGGAGAAGCTGGATGTATAGAAACAACAACAAATTGGAAACTTATCTGGGTTTTTGTTATTTTTCTGATATTTGTTCATATACAAGCAGAATTACTTAGAAGATGTGGTCATGGATATGATCAGAGTTATAGTTTTTCTAAAAGTCAAAAGTTTGTTTTCTGCTCATATTGAACATGTGTAAGGTCCGATCATTTTTATAGCAACTTTCAGTTTGCAAAAAGGGACCTTATATATGGAACACCAAACAAGCTTATGTGTAATACAAAAACTATTCACGAGTTTCATAAAATTGGTATTACACGGGAGCTTGTTTGAGTATTTTATTTATTACTTGATGTTTAGAACTTCTTAAAGCCTCATTTGATCATACTGATCCTGTCCAAACTAGGTCAAGCGTATGAATACAATATTTCAAATGTCGTGTGTACATAGGCAGACATCAATGAGATCCACAGCATAATCCAATTGAGTGTATTGTCATAGCGACTGATTTACGACACCCATTGTCTGAAGAACATTTAATTGCAGAGGCTCATTACCCTGGAGCCATGACATCTATATGGCTTGAAACACTTAATTGCTGTTATTTATAAGATGCTAATCCTATTTGTTAATCCCCATTTTTGTGTACATCGACCGTCTGCCATCCTGAATGAGATGTGCAAGTATGTCACTGATGAATTACTGTTTATATTTATTACTTACTAAATGTCAGGTGACCTTGGCTATATAAGCCTTGGTCCAGAGAAAGAAAAAAAGAAAGAAACAACCACTACCACTATGTGCTGACCTGGCACAGTGTTTTTTGTATGTATATATCTACATGTATAAAGTAAAACTGTTTATACTGCAAGCCATTGTCTCCAAATTGTCACTTCCTACTGAGAACCATACGTCGGCCCCTTGCATATAAGAGTATGCAAATTATTCATTAAACAACGTCAGACCGCCACGCGTTGTTAATTTGGTGGAGCTATCAGGTATGACAGACTTCTTAGTCTGTCCTTTCCTGTACCTCTTCGCAGCATGGCATATGGTTCACAAAACTGTAGGAAGTGACAGTCTCTTATTAAAAGGATATACTACCTTCCTGAAGGCCAATCACCAAGAACGAAGATTGAAGAAAGAACAAGAACCTCTCCAATCAAGAACAAATTCTCCGATCCCAAACCTTCCCTGCTAGAATATCTTAGCAACACTGCTAAGACTTCCCCTTCAAGATGTCGTTCCTGCACATGACCTAAGAACACGCGTATCCCACAGAGACCCGACCACAGCCATCTTCATGCAGACCCTGCACAATACAGAAACCGCCTCACGGGCACCTACAAGATGGACACTGTGTACAAGATATCTCATTGGGACTTACTAATTTGTGTACTTACATGGACTCAATCCAGGATATATATTGTCTGACAGTTGAATAGTGCACCCAGGTATGTTTGATCAAAGCAAGTATATTAATGCCAAAATGTGTTTTTCCAAAATTTAGTTTTGTATATGTGCAATATACTCCAAATATCATCTTTAGTCAAGCTAGACCATTGAAGTTATTGTGTAGGGAATCTTTTAAATGTCTCCAGGACACGCCAGACATATAGATACAGCTAGGGCCACGAGAAACCTAAGCTGTAGGGTTATCGAGTCACACCTTCTGCTAGACTCTTAATTAAAAAGATCTAAATGACAAAATTTGTCATTTGTTACAAGTTATTAATGTGCACAGTTTGGTACAAAATTGAATGTATTGTCTAGGACATTGAATTCGGATTAGGGATATTCTTGGGTAAGCCACCCACACACATATGTATATTGTATGTCATTATTAAGTAATTAACAGCACAGCAGTATTCAGCATTTCAGAGTTTTGATGTCAGAATTAAGGATTATTATTTTCCTTGGGCATAGCACCCACAATATCTGGGCAAGCTCCGTTGATGACACGGGAAGAGCACCCATTGTACTTAAGGGCAAACGTACCCACAAGTACCGTTTGAGTCGCGAGATAAGTTAGACTCCTGGTTTCAAATTTCTTTATGCGAAATAGTTGCTGAGATGTTTAATTCGTACTTTTTATGACATTACTCATTATCATTATTCGGTACTGAGTCGCAACTCCAAGCCAGACTCCTGAATTCAAAGAACCTTCGGTGATATATTTATTGAATCTGTGCAAAGTGAAATTGCACATTACAAAGAATACTTGGTCAATGTAACAAATGTTATATTTGGGATATCGTTGTGTGTTCAATACTTGGTTAGTTTTCAAACTGGCACTAAATCAAATTGGCAAGATGATCACTTTCATATCGTCATTGGATATAGGTACGTGTGCACAAGTGTTTCAGCGATATCCTGAACTCATCTAACTGATTATGTTCACATTTTGCACTGTTGTTTCCGTCTGTGAAAAAGTTCACACATATCAATTTGTACTTGTTTAAAGGGGCACTGATCTAACGCAATTCCCGGGGACTGGTTGTTGCCTTTGTTATTGTTTTTTCCCAGTGAGTACCCGGATGTATAGCAGAAATCTAGACTAGTTCGCGACCTCTGCTGCGCCATTCGTAAGCGCATTAGTCACTTGTATGGGTAGTAATAAGGGCGTATGGTCACATTGATCAACAAACTGAAATACAGTTTTCGAGATAATAAGGAAATGTAGGTATCTTTGTGGGTAGCATCGGTAATGGTGACGTAGTTTTGATAAGTCACTTGCTTGGTAATTTTGCGATTTTCGTTTACACTATTTTGACTTGCAACACAAAGTTTCACCTGAGCATTGCTTTTTGATAGTGTGTATATTTTTGTCAAAATGTGTAACATTTTCAAATTTATTAAACGCCTAAATATTCAGTTATTTTACAAAGTGACTGAAAAACATTTCCGTCTGTATTATTATGATAACGAATTCCAAACATTTTGATGTTAAATGTCATCACCAAGAGACTGAAAATGTTACGTTGAAAAGTACATTTCTATGTTGTTTGGCTTCTTATCCTACATAATAATCAGTTTTTATGTTTGTAGGCCCTTTTAATCGTCTTAATCAATCTGGACAGATTTTTTAGTCAAAATGACTGAAATATTTACACATTTTATAAATTGCCTGAGAGAATCACGTTTTACAAATTGACGGTAATATATACACGCTTACAAAGGAAAAGGCCTGTGAAAACAACGTCTATCGCGCATTGAAGAATTTCCCAACCAAGACGTAGAGAAACAAGGACGAATCGGTTCAATGTTACAGCAAATGAAGGAAAACAAAATGCAAATACCATAATTACAACCTACCAAATTTATGCGTATAAATTTTAGGCAGCTTCCTTGTTCGAGGAATGTATCCATGAATATCCACACAAAGGAACAATATCCCACTCGTCTGCAGTTGTACAAAAAAAACTTATTCGATGTCACGTGTCTCTGTAACAATCACATATTTTTAAAAATATATATCGCTTGGGGATATTTTAACCCGTATCCATTTCTCAACTGATCACTTGGATTGTTTCAGGTGTTTCACATAGGTGTCAAGTCTCAAGGGTCAGCTGAGAAAGCCCACGTGACAACTATTTTCATAACGTCAACAGTTCCTAAAAAATCCATTGAGTGATAGATAACAATGATCAATCAATCAACGTATTTTCAGTTAACCCTTTGAACAAAGTATGTTGTTTTTACATCGGGACTTCACGCCATGATATGAGTGTATTCCCTTTGTTTTAGTAAACCTAGACATGTAAACACTCACTTTTGACATATCCACTGTGCAAAATAACAGGAATTAATCAATCAACGTATTTTCTGTTAATCCTTTGATGACTAGGAACGATCCGTTGATTTACAAAAAAAGTAAATCAACTGATCATTCACCTCTTGCTGGGCTGCCACGTGCATATTACATAACACACATTTCACCTCACTTCAAACCTGGATTTAGATTGAATAATTACCCCAGACACAATAAATGCCAAATGGGAACCTTTGTCAGGTAATCTAAGTGGTGCTACCACTAATTGTACCTGTAATAAATTCATTAACTGAGCATCAAGTGAATGACGACAAATACACAAGTGTAGGGGTTATACGAGAAAACATGGATGACAACAAGGGAGTAGATATCGTATTATCGACGCAATCTGAAATCCCAAAAATGCTTTCACTGCATGAATACTTTTTTTTAGTATTAAACTATAACCATCTGGGGTATTTCCAAATGACGACATCCGATGAGCTCCGCCATTCTTTTTGTCTGTTTGTTTAGGTTGAAGAAATTAATTAACATGCGCCCTTTGTCGAAATCTTTATAGATCCCGGTTAACCAATCAGTGTTTATGCAAAAATGCGTAAAACAAATATTGCCTCCAGCCTCCAAGTTTATTTAGCTGTCCTTGCAGACGGTAGCCCAGTCTCTGGTCACGCTCAGTTGCGTTGCGTATCATCCGGGTACTCAGGGGAAAAAACAATAACAAAGGCAACAACCAGTCCGGGGAATTCCGTTAGATCAGTGCCCCTTTAAGCTTGGGGTCCAAGCTTCACGGAACGGAGGGAAGTTGTCATAGCGACTGATTTAGGACTACCATTGTCTGAAGCACATTTGACTCCAAAGGCAAATTACCCTGTAGCCATGTCTCCATAAGTTAATTGTCATTACGTTTTAGGCGCTAATCCCCGTTGTTAATCCTCACCAACATTTCATTGTATATTGACTGACAGCCAACCTGGACTACTTTATCACTTCCCGTTAATTACTGTTATTTATA